TCGGAGATGGGCCTTGTTATATCAAAAAAAAAAGATAGGCATCTTGTGTCCACAAATATTTCAAAACCGTTAGTTCGATTTCAAAGACGTTCTCATCAAATCGGTCTTACTTCGCCTTTAAGCTTTGTTATTCGAGCGTCACTGATGGGTCTTTTCTAGACGAAAAACTAGCCTGGGGTACACAATTATCAGTCTGGTATCTTTGATGAGTTTTGACTTGGTTCCTACGTTTTTATTCAGTTTTCAGTACCTCACGGCATTGTGGACCTTTTACCCTTATCGTTTGGATGTATACATGTTCTTACAAGTGTTCACACGATTTAAGATTTTCTATAATATTTCAAACGAGTAATACCACACCTTATCACAGGAGAATGGTACATCAGATACAATAGTATACGTGTTCCCGGTTGTTATTATATTAAAGACAATTGTGTTGACCATCGTGTACAATAGATTTGTGTCTGCGTTTCCCATTGCAATTTCAAAACAATAGAGTTTGCCTTCGTGTACAGCTTACAAATCAATAGTCGGTAATAAGGTGAGAATACAATTTGTAGTATTTATGTTCGCTGCTCGTAACTGAAATATGATGTATGTCAAAAGATGTATATGTGACCATATCTTATAAAATTAAAAAACTAAATAAAATAGGATATCAAATTTTTCATACTTTCATATTCTATAAAAGATCAAATCGTTTAAATTAATTCATTGAACTTTTTAAGAGCAAACAGATTTAAGTTCTTTTCGTCAATAGACGAACCAGAGTTTGTTTAATCAAATTAAGAAGGTGGCCACCACATGCATGCATTTTGCTTTCATTGGTACGTTATATTTCTACACTCATGATCAACAGTACATACAGATGTTACATAAACAAATGTCATTCATAATCTGGTTTAATGTATTGAGCTTCAAAGGTATATCAAACCCACAGGTAAGATATTAACATTATATCATCATTGGCAAAGGTTTTAAGATGAAGCAACGTAGACCGAAGGAAGGAAAAAAACATTCACTTTTTATTACAACTTTTTTTAATTTTGATCTGAAAAAAAAATTTAAAAATGATTATTGATTATGATAAATCAAAAGTTTAATGGAGGCACATTCAATAAATTGTTTTAAGTAAAGGGGAAATGCGGGCCCCGCCGAGTTTTGTGAAAAATGTACGTAAAAGTTGAATGACAGGATGAATGAAAAAAATATTTCTGCTCTTTACACAGCGGCAAATTTATCGTCTTCGTGGAACAATTTGAATTACAAAAATCAAGTTAAATATGTTAAATGAGAGTGAGATATAAAATAGCTATGTATCATTTGTATTCCAGTTGTAGTTTTACAACACATCTATTTGAGAGTGTTTAAAACACCATATTGTTTTAAGGTTTGCTTACTGCCTATTGGCAGAGAAACAATTGTTATCATTAGCCGACAAATCATGAAACAGTTAACAAAAGGAACACTGAAAAAAAAATTTGACTAACTTGTTTCAATGCTTACAATAGCTAATGAAAATATCATAGTTCACTGAACAAATGAAAATGTATGCCCTCAATACAAGGTCAAATAGATCGGATGTAAATAAATGCTCTTCTGTCACCAATAGAATAAACTACAATTAAAACGGATTAGAAAATTAATAGTAGTGTTTAATTGAACCTATCGAAATTTTGGGTCCTAAATTCTTGTCAATTTCGTAATCTATTTCGCCTTTTTTTCTGATTCGAGCGTCATTGGTGACGGTCTTTTGTAGACGAAACTCGCGTCTAACGTAGAAATGGTTAAGCCTGGTATCTATAATGAGCGTATTTAAAATAAAAAAAAAAACGTTATCTAAAAAAAATAATTATACTGATAGTGATATCATGTAATATTGACTTAAAATAATGGATCTATCCAATAGTATGATGAATTTAGAATATTGCCTTATCGAATTTAACCGGACTAATCCAGTCGTTATATTCCGACTCACTATCGATCGCTACATTAACGAGAGGACACTGACCGATAGAGGGCGCTGAATCATTCGAGTTATATCGAATTGGGGATATGCAGTAAAAATAGATAAAACAACCATGCACGAAGTAATCAGATAAGGGAAAATCTAGAATTTTGACGAACTGGAATGAATATTTTATGTTAAGATGGCCATTTACGCCCCCTTCCCGGACAGTGACAATGGAACGAAATATTCTATTTTATATCTTTTTTTTTTTCTTTTTTCTAATCTGTTGTTTTTTGCTTTAAATGGTATAGAGGTAAACCCTAAATATAGTCACGGCCTTTGAACAATGTAACATGCAACCTGTAAATGGTGTAGTAGATAAGTATCGGATTGACAGCAAGCCAACAAATATAATACACATTACTGTATTTGCCGTAAGAGTATCATCTGAAAAATATAGTATAAACTCTTTAATTATAAACCTGAACTTTATACTTAACGTTTTTGTTTAGATATTTCAGATGATATTTAGATAATCGTTATCATTGCCGTTTAAAAATATTTTTTATAAATTAGAGATGTTTTTTTAATTTTTATACATTATACATATTGTTCAGCAATCTATGTTGATGCTTATGCTATGCCATTTCCTTCGTCAGATAATAAACCAGAGTGAGACACGCATGCACTACCTATACTGTTGTGCAAAAACGCGTGTCTTGGTCTATTTTTAAAAACAATATTCGAACTTTTTAACGTACGGATTCCAGAGTGAAAAGGGTATATTATAGATGTTTAAGTATTATTTGAACCACAATTTGATATGATTAAAGTTCAAATGTTCCCTTAAATATGATAAAAATTCTAATTTCTTCACTTTTAAAACATGTTCAGAAATACTGTATGTGTTTGTTTTTAACCTCAGGCATCAAAACCTACCCAAAACAGGATGGAAAACAAAGAACAACATAACTTTTAGTCAATCTTTGCCTTTGGAAATGCATGGACATCACAGCTTTTACTGAGTTTTTTTACATAGTCTTTTATGCGAACTGGAACGCATCGATATAATACTTTTTAACTCAACATTTTGAATGATCCTTTAACCAGAAAATAATTCAGAAGAGTTGATGTTTTACAATTATAGCCTTTGTAGGAGATCGATATAATATATCATTGACATTAACCAACGGCTACAATTGTTGTCCTATATTATTAATCAACAACTACTGAAAGAACAATGTAAAATTGGGGATTTCTAGAATGTATTTTTAGTAACATGCTGTATGCGCTTTTTATCCTACGAAAAGCTAAACACAACAGTATTGACATGCAAACTGAGTAAATACAAATGTACATGTGATCAATTTTTAGCGAATCACAAATCCTTAAAGATATTCGATTAATAATATTGTCATTTATCAGCTTCTGTGTGTTTTATTCACTTATTTGTCTGTAGGTTTTATATATAGTATATATATTAACTCAGTGTTTGTTTGCCCTTGAGATAACTAGTTTTATGAAACTTGTATATTTTTATTACGCATGAGATAAAAAAAAAAAAAAACCATCTAGTGCAATATTCTGCGATAAATATTTGGAAGGATGCAGGAAAACACAAGTACTTTGAGTACACGTTTTGTTTATTACTATATAAACTGTAAATAGAGCTCTACGTATAACATATAAATCCCGTTATAATTATTGAAGGAAAAAAATAAATAAAGAACTTCAAGACGATATAAATCTATATTTATGGTATTAAATGCACTTAAGACCATACCGTAATATACTTAAAACATTGACTTTTCCGGGAGCATAAATCGTTATCATATATATATATATATATATTATACTGACAAAACGTTTGTATTTGTCGTCGCTTTTATTGGCGTCCACTTTCTTTGGGGATTTTGATTAACGGCCTGTGATAGCAAAAATAAATTAAAAAAAAACACAAAAAAACCCACAAAGTTTAACACTATTTCAATGAACTTTGATCATATATATGTTTATATTAAATCATTCCTTATTTGGTTCAAAATAAAACTTGCAATAAAGATGTTCACCAAGGATTAATATAGTGTACACGTATAGACATGTTTGTAGCTTGCAAGATAAAAAAAGTAGCAAGTTTGCAGGAACTATTTTTATGTTAAAATAGGTCTTCATACTGCATATATTGTAACAAAAAGTTGAGACGTTGATATCCATGTAGATGTTATAAAGAAGGTTTGTCTGATGCATAAGTTCTATGATGCTTGGTAGGCAGTGTGAGCTATTCCTTCTGGACCCCCCTTGATATATAGTGTTTGTATGTTTATGAGGGGAGGAATCAGGGGCGGATCAAGCCATTTATAAAGGGGGGGGGGGGGGGTCCTAACCCAGGATAAAGGGGGAAGGTGTTCCAATTATATGTCCCCATTCAAATGCATTGATCGTCAAAAAAGAGGGGGGTTACAACCACCGGACTTCCCCCCACCCCACCCCGCCTGGATCCGCCACTGGGAATGCCATTTATCGTCAGCTAGGCGTCAAGCGGTCATTTTCGGCCCCCGTTAGCGTCAAATTGGTTTAAATTTTATCGTGATTCGCCAATATATCCCTTTCGTGATCATGGTGATTCGTCAGAGGTCTCAAATAATTATCTGTTACCGTTATTTTTGGAGAGAAAAAAAATAACGTGATTCGTCAAAATCAGTCGATTTTTTGTATCTTCATAAAGAAAATGTACATTTTATCATCATGCACCAAAAATTACCGTTCACGTCATTTGGCAAGATTTTTTACCGTTAGTCGTTATGAAGGTATACCCCCATTACGACCCTCGTTTATGTAGCCAATATTTATTGTCTTTGGTAACAATCCTGCAATTTTGGATTTTAAACAAAAATAAAATATCTTATCTTAACTTATCTTATCTTATCCTTATCCTTAGGCTTATGCTCGTTATAAGGCTCGCCGTGCATGCATATATGCCGTGCAAAACTCGTGTTGGTTAAAAAAAAATATTTAGCTTCTTATATTATGCGCGTCGAAAGTTATTCAGCTAAACGCATGCGCTTAGTCGGGAAATTAAAAACATGGCTAGATGACAACTAATTAGTTCTGGTAAGCATGTTTTGTTTTTGTTCGATATTAAATGCATGACATGAACATTTTGTATTACAGCAAATTGTATAAAGTTTTCCCCTTCGTTCCGTCAACCCGGTATTCTCATCACCCCCGATAACTTTTTAACAAGGGACGAAGCTAAAATACACGTGGAATCAAATATTTATTATATAACAGTAGCAGTCAAATAGATTACAAGATTTATGTTGATAACAAATAAATAAATTGAATCCCATTTTTCAAAGATTTTTAATGTCTTCAAGAAATTTGAACGTTATAACTTATTGTCAATCGAATACTAGCGATGCTATTATTATTTGTCATCTCATCGATTTTTTTTCAGTAAATTTTAATGTTATATTCTGTGTAATTGCTTGTTTTCAAGCGAAGCCGATTAATATTAACCAGATATTGAATCATTGTTTGTTTGTATTTATTATCGCGAAGTGGATGATTGACAGAATTGAGGGATAGTTTACAAGGTCAAACATGTAAACATCTCGTAAATATAACACACGTGTGGATCACAAGTGAAGATTTTGTTGATTATTCGGGCTTCTCGGGACTTATCGAGTTTTTTTAATGGAAATCCTGAACTTGCTGGTTCTTCCCTAAATAATGCAAATATGTTCGGTACCAGTGATATAAACACTACACAAACTTCCCCGCTAAAAAATAGCGGTACTTTCAACTGACCAGGAAAGGGACAAAGGTCGCAGAAATACGTATGTACGTAAATGAAAACATTGAAAGCCTGATTTCAAAATGCTGTCATACTACTGGGTTTTGCAAAAAAATCAACATTCCACAATTTTAGGTGAATTTGAAAGAAAATCCGTTGCCGTTGGAAAATTAAAGAAAAAAAAAAGAAAAAAAAAAAAACCAGATCTGTGGAAAGGTTATGATTTTCTGGGATAAGATACATATCAGACACAACTCATATCGAATCTTAAAAGGGAAACTGCCATTCAAATGATAGATATTTTTTAAGTTTTAAATGGAAAAATGTTTAATTGAATCATAAAAAAAAGGGGCAATAGGTGTGTCATCTCGAATAACAAAAAATAAAACATTCTTTCGCGGACACCAAAAAATCAATATTAATTCCTGAGTCCCTATAAGCATAAACTCTGAATTCTCGTGAAAATGAAGTACCAATTCTGAATTCACTCAAAAATAATTGCAGAATCCTGACATCCTGACATCCTTTCTTATTTAATCGCCATTTGCACTAATTTTTGTTTTGAAATGCTTTTCCTGTAATAACTGCCACTGGAGTATCATGGTATAGTATGATAATCCTGAGGGCCTCCCAATAATCATAGTAATGCTTATGGGAGATATTGGCGAATGATCACTAATCATTTAACTGTGTTCTTGACAGAAGCAATCAAGATCTGAACTAAATATAAAAAGAAATTATATTCCACAACAAATTATTATCAGCTAAGACAATTGGATATTCTGATTTGAAAATTGAAACTCTTATTAAATTACTTGGAAAAAGGTAATTTTTCACTAGTCGCACATTCTTATTCAGCAGCTAGACTTTTTTTAATTAAGATATGTATAGGAAAGTTGATAAATCCTGATAGGTATAATTAATTAATTATAGGGGTGTTTAATCACCTTTAAATAACATTAACCTGGTCCAAAATAACCAGTTAACATATGGCTGAGGGGCAATAAGTTTTACCCTTTTCGGACTGCACCTCTGTCCGTACGTCTGTTCTCAAATTTAGTATTCATTTTCTAACTTTAGTTTACCCCAGCCAAATGCTATGAAACTAATACACAATGCTTAGTTATTGATATATTATCGCCAAACACAGATCAAGGTCGAATTTAGGTGGCTTCACTTTCACCATCTCGAGCTTATGTCACTTTATAGATGGAAAAATTACTAAATTTGCCATGTCTTCACTCTTACTTTAGTTTGCCTCGACCAAATGTTATGAAACTTATACCCAGTACTTACTACCACCAAAATTTATACAGATCAAGTTCGAATTAAGGTGGTGTCACTTTCACTGTTTTTGAGTTATGCCCCTGTGCTGTGGGAAAGACTTCCTTTTTAACCCCTCTTGTAGAGGGTATAATTATAGACAAACATGTACATGTTGGGGGATGGGTGAGTTCAATAGGAAGTCTTGGCAAACTGTGTCTTCTGCAATTCAATGAAAGTGTCAGGAAATAGCCAGAATGCAGGATACATTGTATTTCATCCTTTACACTAGAGCTTCAGGTACCGTGAACAAGTCCATTTCTGGGCAAACAGTTTTTTTTTGGTCCCTTACATATAATGTCTATGGTATCCAGAAGGCTACTATGACCAAAAAGTTTAGTTTAAGACCCTGCAGAAGGGTCTCGCAAAGTTGGTCATGCATAATGAACATGGTGAATATCTTTTACAGGAATTTTCCCAGAAACACCTGATATTGTGAATCAAAGAAGAAGGAACAACACCTGGATAGATTGAAAACATAGGAAGGTACATATAAATACCTGTTAAACCTGCTGTAGTGATCAACTGTATATTCAGAACTTCTGTCCTTAATTATTTTAATTATTCCTCTTAAATATTGTTATGGTATCTATACCTTAAAATCGAGAGAAAGTATCCATTTTTCACTTAATTCAGTTCTGATTTATTGTCTTTATCTGGTATTTAGTGCATACATGGTAGAAATAAACAGAAAATTGTAATGTTTTCATAGAATTTAGGGGTTTTATCATGATTATGCAATTAAAAAATTAAAATAGCAGGAAAAGGATTTATGTATGTGAAATCAATATGAAGTTTCAAGAAAAACAAGATCTAAATGATTTTAGCATTAAAACATGGGATCATGATTTTTCTACCCCACACCATAATTGTGGGACTCTTCCAAGTCTTGCACTTTTCATGAAGCCTGAAGTCTATAAATTGACAACCGCTTCATTTCAATAAATGCAAATTCAAATGAATTAACAATTATCATTTAACAAAACTGAAATACTCACACTTTGTGAAATTCAGTTTGAAATCAGTTTTATTATTGACTGTAATTTTCACATTAATTAGTCAAGATGTTATTAATTACACATAAATACATGTATTACGACAGTTGTGTTCCACTTGGTTGATATAGGCGAGAGTTTGGTTTGTCAGTTTATATGGACTTCCCCTTTTTGAATTTAGGTTGGAGTTTTCTATTTTTGTTATAACATCTTTTACATACAATATAAAATTTTGAAAGGAAAAATGTCTTTAAAATACGATTTAATGTGCTGTTAGGGAAGATATTTTAATGTCACTTGTCAGGTTCGATGTTTGATAGATTGTCAATTTAAAGAATTTACAAAAAATAGTTTGTGATAAAGTTCAGACACAACACACACTAAATCATAAATGGGAAACTGCTGTTCAAAAGACAGATACTTTCAAACATTTGAATGGAAAAATGTTAGTAAATGTGTAAAGCAAAAGTTTCGAAACCAGTGTTCATGGTGTAAGATGTCTTGGATTTTAATCTCCATTTCATACATGTTCAATCTAAGTTAATCTTTTCATGTTTCAGTAATTTACAATTAAATTCCAGTTGGCACAAAACACTACACTTTTCTACAGCTAAGAAGAAATATATCTAACAAGAATTGAAGTTTTGTGAGATTTATGATAATTTAGAACTGCAAAAGCAGGTTACAAAAAGTATTGAGTAACTTTGAATTTGTTTTTTTATTGATTGCACATGGTATAAAGGTAAACATATCAATTTATTGATTTAATTAAAGTATTTAATGAGAACAGATGTAAAATATATCAAATATTGATTAAATATTTATTGACTGTTCAGGTAAAAAGTTTATCAATGGTAAAGATATTTTGCTAATATACATACAGCTTTGTTTCTGAAACACTAATAAAACAATTACCTTTGATATTAATGCATATTGAAAACAGATTATTTAATCTACAGATTCTGTACTGAGGAACCTTTTTTATCCTTGACTCTCCATTGGCACTTCCTTGAAACGAATCTTATGAATATGAAGCTCATATTTCTTATAAATTGATTGTATGTGTGTAAATAAAAATAGGGAGATTTGGCTTCATTGCAAATGACTAAAAAATTCCACCAGAGTCCTCAAGACAACTATTTGTATGGCCAAATGATATAGATGTAAGCAACTATAGGTCAATGTCCTCTTTCAACAATGAGCAAAACCCATACCTTATTGTCATCTTTTAAAGGCCCTGACATGACTAAATGTGAAACAATTCAAAGAGAAAACCAATAGCCTGATTAATGACAAAGCAATGGAAAAACAAGTATTACTTAAGACACTCAGATAAAGAATATGGGAGGGCTATACATATGTGTTTGTGTTTAGACTGGTCATGATGGTTAGTATCGTAGAAGAGGTCTTATGAATGTGTATATATTTGTAATCTTTTGACAGGAAAAGATGGTCAGTATTCCTGAAGATGTATTATGGATGGTCATTGTCGGCTTTATTATAGCCTTTATCCTTAGTTTTGCTATCGGTGCTAATGATGTAGCAAACTCATTTGGTACTTCTGTAGGATCCAAAGTTCTTACCTTACGACAAGCCTGTATTCTAGGTACAATATTTGAGATATTGGGTGCTGTTTTAATAGGTTTGTATTAATACTGCTAGCTTATAACAATCCCTGGCTTTATGAAAATTAGAATTTATTGTAGTGACTGTTTTTGTAAAATAATTATTTATTTTTTGTAGAAATGTTCTTCATGTTTTTAGGGCTTTTCCGAAAATGAAATAGCGTTTGGAGTATTTAAAAAGAAAATGTTTATGGGGGTCGGGAAGCATAACCCTTATTGTGTTTTGAGGTAACTTTACAACTTTTGGCAATCGGAAGATATATATTATGCTGGGGATGCACAATTTGGTTCGAGGAATTTGTTTTTTAAACCATGTCAGCAGCTAAAATAAGTTTCAGTATTGTGGAGACTAGTTTATTTATACTAAATGCTCTAATTTTGAGAATTTCAATTGGACAGCACACCATCATATCATTTATAAACAGCATATTTTTCTACTAATATTCTATACTGACGATACATAAAAGTTAGAGCTTTATTTAATTGACTGAGTTCTGGTTTTGAACTTGACATTTAACGTATAATTTTACTGAGTAGTTTATAGAAGGCATATTGACATGCTATTTATGTTTAACAAAGTTGTATTTTAATCATACAAAACTGAAATTATAAAGCATGTAAAGGTTATGTAGCATTTTGGCTATATATAGATTACATAATTGTGAGATCACTTGTGTACAGTTACAATCATATATAATTAATAGTTATTTAAAACAATAAATGTTCTATAAATGTTACTTCCTGTAAGCTTGTATGTAGCTGATAATGGTGTATGTTTATAAGGCCAAAATATAATATGATGATGTTTCTCGTCTCCTCGCTTACCCTAGATTTTCATGCCTACCTTATCTCATGTTATTGACATTTGTGGTTAAGAAATGTTAAAGCAGGGCTCACACTAGCAGGCGACTGGGGCGTCAAAGTCGCTTTCACGTCCGTCACTTCGCTTTGCCCGACCGTAAAAAGCAATATCTAGTCGTCATGGTGTTCACAATAATCGCTTGCAGTCGCTTTCGTCATCGACGATTTCCCATTTTTACCAAGTCAATGAAACAGCATACTTTTCATTTAAAAGTGAAGAAATTCAAAGACATAAACGATTTATTTCTTTAGAAATGATGTGAAATTGACTTTACAGATTGGTCGTATGTTATTTTAAAGGAACAACTTTTATGAAGTATTTTCTTTCATTTCCTGTACTTGTTACTCGAGATCATATATCAAAACATTCTGATTTTCGGCAACATAAGTTTGTTACTTCTTTAGAAAGTGATCAAAATTGCCTTTAGTTAATGTTTGGTCCATTTATTGCATTAAAAGGGTCATATTCCTTTCCAAATCGCTTGTCAAACATTGTTTATTTTTTCGTAAATTTTCTTCGTCCGCCATTGAAATATTTGTACAAACCATGGATCGAAGGTGGGATTCTTCAGTAGCGGACCTGCTATGACCCAAATCCGAATTCTTACGATAATAACTACTGACGCCTGAATTGAACAGCTGACAAAAGAATAATGCTCCCAAAAGTGAAAATTACACATTCCACATGCATTAACAGACTTTTGATTAGATATCCTTGCTAAATGTATATATTTTCATGTTAATACATTGTTTCAATTTATTGATTAAAGTTGCTTAACTTTGTTTAATTTATATATCTTTTTAATGAGAAACAATGAATTTATTAACATGATAAACAGAATAGTTTTTTAATTGTATTTTTTATTGATATATGATACTTTCTTTTCCTTTTTGATATAAAAAAAGATCTTTTTAGTGCTAGATATTTAGTTCGTAGATTCTGACAAGAGGACTGATATCATGTATATAATTGTGCAACTATAAATGACTATTTAAGACATAAACTGAAACAACTGTTACTTTAATTAACTGAGGTATGAATTGAACACCTATAAAAAAAAAGAAATATGTATCAAATGGCCCTTTATATTATAGTAAAAAACAATTCATTGAAGCGCCGCGAGCAAACAAGTACTTCTCTTTCAAATCTCACCACTTCTCCCAACCAGTTTCAAAAAGAGAAGTCACTTCTTCCTATGATTTTGAAGTAGTGTGAGCCCTGGTTAAAGTGTAAAACATCTGCCTATATGGCTATAGATAAATTGAGATATATAGTGAAGTCTGTAAAATATTAAAAAAAAATAGAATTACTTTACGATTTTCTTCTGCCTGGTGACAAGAGACGAGTACATGAAGTATATACATGTATATATTTTTTAATTAACAACAGCTATTACAATGTGAAAAATAAGTAGATGTGGTATGATTGCCAATGACACATATATATTCACCAGAGACCAAAGAACAGCCTTCAACAACTTCAACAATGAGCAAAACCAATATTGTATAGTCAGCTATAAAAGGCTGAAGCTTGACATAATGTGATAGATTTATCTTATAAATTTACAGGTTATCGGGTGTCTGATACAATAAGAAAGGGCATTATAGATGTTTCTTTGTACAAAAATGGAAGTGAAGATGTTCTTATGGCTGGGAATGTGGCTGCACTGACAGGCTCCTGTGTTTGGCTTGTTGTTGCAACAGTCCTGTCACTTCCTGTCTCTACAACACACAGTATTGTGGGAGCTACAGTTGGATTTTCTCTAGTTGTACATGGCACCAAAGGAGTCAATTGGATAAAGATGGCATCTATATGTATGTATCAAGTTTAAACCATAGAAATGAATGTCATTTAGAGATCTATCTCCCTTTTTGAAACTGCTTTTGACTCATTTTACAAAAGAAATACTACAAAAAGTACTCTTTAAGTCATATAAAAATAAGGACATGTGGTATGATTGCCAATGAGACAACTATCTACCCAAGTTCAAATGAAGTGGTTGTAAGCAATAATAGGGAACCGTACGACCTTTAACAATAAGAAAAACCCATACCGTATAGTCTGCTATTAAAGGCCCCGACATGAAAAATATGAAACAATTCAATTGAGAAAACTAATGGCCTAATGTGTAACAAAACAATTTACGAAAAAAACAAATATGACAGACATGAACCAACAACAACCACTGGCCTACAGGCTCCTGACTTGGGACAGGCACATAAAGAATGTGGCGGGGTTAAACATGTTTATGAGTTCTCAACCCTCCCCTAACCTGGGACAGTGTTGTTACAGCACAACATTAGTACAAACTATAAAAATGGCTTAACTCATTAGATCAATACAAAGCAGAAAAACATCTTACAAAAACACAGACTGGATATGAACATTTCATTATAACTTACTATCAATTATTGTCGTAAAATTTGTTGTTGAAAGAGCTCTGTATATTTTTCAATAGGGAAAATATTAGCAATGTTTAATGGCTTTGGCAAATTCGACTAAAAAAAAACAATTTAAGTTCAGTACTGTTGACATTAGATTCCTTTTTTAATTATGCTTTTTTTGTCTGATTCAATTTTTTTCTGTCATAAATGTGCATCTGTCATGTCTGTAAATGTATGGTAATATATGAGTATAAATTTTGATTTGTTTCAGTTGGATCATGGTTTATCTCCCCTTTATTATCTGGAATTGTGTCAGTGCTAACATTTCTTTTAGTTCATCACTTGGTCTTGAAAAAGGTAAGCAACATACACAAAATATTATTATATAAAATAAGTTATAACCAAATGTAGGATGCAAACTATACAATTTTGGCACAATTAAGTCTGGTTAAGATTTAATCATTAGATATATTTCATGATCTCGAACCAAATATGTTGCACAGGTGAATTTGTTGAAAGACACATGGTACAACAGAGGGTAATAATTGGGACCAAAAAACAATTTTAATAGATATAAGAAGATGTGGTATGAATGCCAATGAGACAACTCTCCATCCAAGTCACAATTTGTAAAAGTAATCCATTATAGGTCAAAGTACGGCCTTCAACACGGAGCCTTGGCTCACACCGAACAGCAAGCTATAAGTCTTTCTCAGACTTGTGGAAAACTTATAGAATGAAAACAAAAATAGTAGTAAGGTGATATTTTGTTAAACTAACAACTTGAATATGCTGAATGATTTGATTGTGTCACAAGTAAGATCACAAGGGTCAGCATATTTTTCATTGAAATAAAACAAAAATATACAGGTACAAAATAAGACACAAAAGTAACAAAAAAAAGAAATGACGTTCAAATCAGTAGCATTGAACAGGACATGTCAATCGATTGAACAAATAAAAAAAAAAAAAAAAAAAAAAAAAACCATGTCCTAAGAATCGAGCACCAACAAATAATTGTTTAACAATTAGTGTGATAAATAGCAAATATTCTAATTTTCCATATGGTTCAATATATCACACTCAAAATTACTGTAGATTATTAGTGTTTTACAGCTGCTGTATTCATTGATGTTTTGTTTATATATTTCAGCCCAAGCCATTAGAACCAGGCCTAAAATTACTGCCGATATTCTATGCCTTTACAGCTGCCATCAATTTATTTTCTGTGTTCTATAAAGGTTCTCATTGTAAGTTCTTTTTATTTTGCTTACAGATGATATGTTATTGTAATCATTTCTTAAAACACAGAAAAAAGCAGAAAGGCAATTCCATATAAACATAACTCATCCCTAATTAGGCACAATACAACTGACTCATGGCCGACAGATATATACAGGGGCCTCGGTGGCCGAGTGGTTTAAGTAGTTACTACTGTAATCACTAGCCAGTCAACACTGAGGTTGTGTGTTCGAACCCCGCTCGTCCGGGTGCACTCGACTCCAATCTTAATTGACTAGGATTGTCAGTTTTCCTATCGAAGGTCAGTGGTTTTCTCCGGGCACTCTGGCTTCCTCCATCAATAAAAACTGGCCGCCACGAAATAGCCCAAAAGCGGTGCTTAAAAGTGACGTTAAAAAACCAAATATCAAAAAAAACATACAGATATATACATTGTTGGTGTCAGATATGTCAGAGAGGCAGTAACCCAAAGGCAAAAACAACCAAGGAAAAAGGTATTTAATGACTTTTGCATTATCCTTTCTTGCAAAGGTATAGTGGCTTATAGACTTATGTAACTTGTCATCTCCTTTCTCCTGCTCCTAATCTGGTCCCTCCAGATCTAACCTTGTAAAGAGAGGGTCAAACTAGGGTTACAAACATAACTATGCAAGTGCAACATGAAAGACAACAATTGACTGGTTCCTTCTTTATCTGCTTCCAGAACCAGAAAATGTAACAGCAACATTTAGGCCAATAGCAATTTGGCAAATTTAGATAAAGAACTAATGATATGAAGCAAAAGTCTACTTTTTTCCTGTGATTCTGTTGTTGCCATTTAAAGTAAAGAATTGCATGTAATTACCGTGATTATTTTATTACAGTGTTGCATTTTGACAAGATTCCTTTATATGGAGTGATCATTTTAACATTTGGATCAGCATTATTAGTAGCTCTGCTAGTTAAATTTGTTGTAACGCCTTGGTACAGAAAAAGAATTATAGGTAAGTTTATAAGAAAAATATTCATTCTTATTTTACCTCTGAAAGACATCAGCATTATTATTACTAAGTTTGCCTTTGACAAACTCTGAAAAACAAAGTTTATATTGAAATTTGACTTTTTCCCTTAATTGTTGTTTCATTCTTTAGCCCTTGATTGTTTCTGTATTTTTTCATTTTCGCTCAATTAAAACAAATGTATATAATAATATTGACGTTTAAGCTTGAAAAAGCAACTCAATCTTGTAAAATTTATTCTTCTCGCATGACTTCAACAAATTTATATCACAAAATTTTCTTACTGTTCTGTTGACCACCAAACAATATTTTTCCTTTTGGACCCATATGTATTTACTCTTGACACTCTAATATTATTCATATATATAAATAAATCATTTTGCCTTTCAGCTGAAGTAGCAAAAGCTAAAGACAAAGAATCATTAAGTTCTATTTCTGTCGAAAATGAATTTGGGAAGAGTCGTGATGCTCTTGTACTAAGCTCTGGTAAATTTTTAGATATTTCATATTGATAAATCAAACCTAAATTGTATTGTAACGTGACCGAGGGGATGTCAACACTGACACAGACGGACGGATATAGCCATCTATGGCACGACAATATATCCTGTGGTAAATTCCCAGTAACTAAATAATACGGTATATATATATATAAGTTTATTAACAAATGTACATTACTTCCGACTTATTGACAAAGTTAGCTACAAAGTTTAAACATATAAACTTTAAAAACAAGTCCTCCAGAATCTTTACTGATTCAAGACTTAAGGAATACACATCCTTTCAGTATCACAGCTGATACCCAATCTGCCAGTCTCTGACCAACTGACCTTTATCATAGAGTTTAATTACTGCATCTCTAGACAAACAAATAGGCATAACTAATTTTATTACCCTACACCCCAAGACATTGCTACTTGTCTTAATTACATCTGACAGTTCAACTTTAACTGCAGATAATAAAACTAGCCATTTGTCAAATTAGCCTTGCGTCATTAATTTTCTCTGTACACAAATAAACAGTTATAAAGCCAATTTAACCAGAGGTCAATATTTACAAAACATTAAAATATTACATTGCCTCCCTCTTTGAAAAACATGTGTCTCACATGTAAACAAAAAACAACTTTAACTTATTACAGTATGGAAGACCACTTTCAAAAATAAAACAGAAATACGCAATAAAATATACATAGAAAAATCAAAATGTATCAAAAACAATTTACACTCTTTGGTACAATTTTCAACATTTGAAAAATAATTCAATAATAATCATGAAAACATGCAATGTTCATTTTAAATGTTCATAGTTTATAAAGTTCCATAAAAGTTCTAATCAGGAACGAATCTGTTGGGTGGACGTTTTACAACACGTTGTACGCGACTGTATTCAACATTTTCAGTTGGAAAATTAGACAAATCGCACTGTTCATTTTCACTTAATTCAATGTTAGACTCAGTGTTATTTTCTTCGATTGCGATAGCGTTAGACTCCGTGTCTTTTTGAATTACAGTTTTAATTAGCCAATTGTTAAAATCTCCATAATACGGTTTCAGTCTGTTGTAATGAACAACTCTTGATTTTGCAAGTTCTGAATTTTGAATACGGTAAACCAAGTCACTAAAACTGTTTGTATATAAACATGATAAACTAGATAAGTGTTCTGGAATATCTTCTTTTGACAAATCTAGAGAACAAGCTGACTCGTTAAGTACTGTTACTGCTTCACATGGCGTTTCAATAGTTTTTTCATACACTTTAACAGACTTATCTGTTGCGTTCAAAACTTGAATCGGAACGACATTTGATGATGAATTAACTACTGTTTTAGCCAACAGAAGCTGATGTTTCTCCACAAATTTATTTGAAGCTACTAACATGCTACATTCTTGAGCATAACTAATATCAATAACTTTCCCTGGAATAATCTGCTCGACACCCGGCGGAATAACTGTTGTCTCTGACACAGCAACCCGACAACATCGCACACCTTGTGAATTTACTACTGCACAAGATTTCTGTTCTTTGTTAACAGTCATTGTATTGTTAGCCACATCAATGCAACACATATTTTGTTTCATGAAGTCAAAACCGATAATACAGTCTATATCTTCATCTTTATCAGCTACCCACACATCGTGTGTGAGAAGTGTCCTTCCAATTTCAACGTTCATTTTACCTATTCCTCTTACTTTAACTGGTTTACCGTCGGCAAGTTTCATGTTTGTGTGTGTTGGACGCAACACCACTTTGTTTCCATCGGACAGAGAATCGTATACCTTACTGTTCAAAATTGTCACATTTGCACCTGTATCTACTAATCATTGGATGTTTTTACCTTGAAATTTACCAGAAATATACATTCCTCCATCGCCACTCGCTACACGACCGTTCTAACTCGGTCTTTTTGTTGATAATTTCTGTTACCTTTGTCATCATTCGGACAATTTCTTCTGATATGCCTTGTATCGCCACAAGTCCAACATCCCCTTTTCCCCGGCTTGTTGTTGTTATTAAATCCGCGTCTCTGTTGACTCATATCACGCTTAAGAAACTGAAGCTCACGTCGAAGTTCCTCTTCCACATCAGATAAGGTTTTAATTTGACCAGATACTTCTGAACTTTCCGAAATAGCCAAATTTCGAACACTTGATGGTTTGTCCCTCTGTTTATCCGCAATGTAAAATGCCTCGAGCTCAGCAGCTAACTTAACTGCATCATCTAGTGTCTTTGGGTGAGCTTGATGTATACGCAAATGTGTATCCGTGTCATCTAATGCATCAACGAAATGATCTTGGCTCAACATTTCTTGTAGTTCCAGTTGAGCTTTGGGATATGCTTCACGGCTTAGTCTCTTGATATGTTGCGCCAATTCAGGCAAATCTTGATCTTTTCTTTTACGGATATTCTTAAGTTGCACACGGAAAAGCTCTGTTCTGTATCGGTTCCAAATCTACTAGTTAATGCTGCACATATCGATTTATAATCTTTACTCTTAATCGGATCAATATCGGCTAAAACACTTTGTGCATTCCCGCTTAGACTTGTCGCAAGAAACATTGCTTTCTGATTATCCGCCCAACAATTTAATTCGGATATCATTTCAAACTGAATTTTATAATCTTCCCAAGAAACAGAACCATCATATTTAGAGGGTCGGACAACTGGCTTTTCAGATCCCATATGCTTATGTGAATTCGATCCTTGATAACGAGAAGGTTGGAACACAGATGGAATTGATGATCTTTTCGGGGTCGGAGCACTTGAAATTTCATCCTGAAGAGTTTCATACTCTTTAGTTAAACGCTGTATTTCTCTTTGGGTTTCAATCATTCTAGGCGTTGAAGCTGATAACACAGTTGAACTTAATCCTATCCCCGTATCCATTGATACTTTAGGTCTTGCACCTCCAAAATAAATTTCTCTATCAGAAGAATCACGTTTATCCATTTTTATAACAATTTAATTACAGTTGCTTTATTTACGCACATGAAATATTTTATTCCATTTGCAATAATCCTCTCACACAAAATTATCTGAATATTACTATAAATCCACAGAATATAATTTGCGAAAATACATTGTTAAATTCCAAATAGCACATCAATTCTTAAAATAGAAATAAACTAATCCATGTTAATAATATCCACACCGCTGCCACCAAAAATTGTAACGTGACCGAGGGGATGTCAACACTGACACAGACAGACGGATATAGCCATCTATGGCACGACAATATATCCTGTGGTAAATTCCCAGTAACTAAATAATACGGTATATATATATATAAGTTTATTAACAAATGTACATTACTTCCGACTTATTGACAAAGTTAGCTACAAAGTTTAAACATATAAACTTTAAAAACAAGTCCTCCAGAATCTTTACTGATTCAAGACTTAAGGAATACACATCCTTTCAGTATCACAGCTGATACCCAATCTGCCAGTCTCTGACCAACTGACCTTTATCATAGAGTTTAATTACTGCATCTCTAGACAAACAAATAGGCATAACTAATTTTATTACCCTACACCCCAAGACATTGCTACTTGTCTTAATTACATCTGACAGTTCAACTTTAACTGCAGATAATAAAACTAGCCATTTGTCAAATTAGCCTTGCGTCATTAATTTTCTCTGTACACAAATAAACAGTTATAAAGCCAATTTAACCAGAGGTCAATATTTACAAAACATTAAAATATTACAGTATGCATAATTAACATTGTCATTTTATGTTGTATAATTCATTTAAAGGATAACAGGAAATAATAAAAATACTGGAAAGCACAACAGGTCACATCAACCACTGACATCCAGCTACTCTTGTAAACATCCAAGACAGACAACAACTTGGTGCATCTACATCATTTTGTTTCCTTAAAAGTGCAGTTAAACACCAACAATCAATAAATCAATCAATCACATACACTTCCATAAAAGATGGCAAAACGAAAGACATTTATTTCAGTTGTCATATCTGATTACGAATTTTACAAAAATAACTTTTTTTCTTCAGCTCATATGGCACATAACAGTGTTAAAGAATATGATGTTGATCAAAGTGGAACCAAATATCCACTGAAAGAAGATAAAGAAACTGATGGTAGGTAGAAATAGAAAGAATAAGATATTTGTACATTTTGTAGGGCACATCAGTAAAGATTTAATGTTAAAAAAGTAATATGTTTTAATGTAATAAGAGCTGACCCAGAAAAGAATGTTAAAAGGCACTTTTTTCTGTACCAAACATACACTGAAAGGAATTATTAATAATAATAATGGACATGAAATAACTTTCTTAAATTGTAAAAATTCAGAGTTCAAATTATTATTTGATATTACCTAAATGATTAATTTCAGATATATGTATTACAAGTAAAAAGGGCTACAATACTTGTGAGGACTTGCATATATTTTCTGCAGCTATGCAAATTAAAATTATTCAAACCGCTTTTCTTTCAGTTCCCATTGCAAACAATTGCTATTTCAAACTGCACAATATCACAAACCAAAAACCATTCACAGCTAGTTAAACCTCACGTTCACATACCCCAACTCATATTTGTATACATGTAATTCCAGTTATTAAATTTGTCATTTTCACTTTCTATTTCAATGAGATAATTTGGCTTACTTTAAAACTTTCTTATATTACATGTATATGGCACAAAAAATAATTTTACAGAGAACAATTTTTTTTCGTAGACAATTTTCATCCCAAAAAATGTTTGCCTTATGTAAAGAGTGCAATTTGATATATTACATAAGTTGATATCATATTTTTTCACTGTTTTATTGTTTAGATTGTTAAAAATGCATAATAATATACTTGTTTATTGTTAGTGATCTGCTTAGACAAAAATTTTGACGTTAAGCTTGTTTTTTTTTTCAGTTTTATATACTGAAGTAGAGGAGACAGGAACTCCAATAGCAAGCACTCCATTGAAGGTATTTGAAAAAAAAAATGTATCTTTATTGTTATTATATATATACCCCTGCTCCAAAAAAAGGGAGTGGGGGTATACTGGTTTACATATGTTTTGTTTCGTGCATCTGTTACAAAACATTTTAGTCACATTTTTATCAGGAATTACAAATCAGAGCTTCCCGAAATTTGGTATCAAGATTCACGTAAGCAGGCTTTATAACTGTTTGATGCATTTTCAGATCCATCACCACATCCACTTCCTGTTAACCGAATACTTTGATATATTTTTACACATAATATATAATTTTGGTTGCCTTTTCTCAGAAAATACTCATCAGAGTTTACTGAAATGTGGTATACTCCACTGTGTGATGCATTTTCAGATTAATTGCTCTTCCACTTCCTGTTAACTGAATACTTAAAGTTTCTTACACATATAAAAGGCCATGTATACAATTTCTTCGCATTTTTGTCAGGAACTACAAATCAAGGCTTTCTGAAATTTTTAATTGGCCTTCATGTATGACCGCTATACTGTGTGATGCATTTTTATGTCCATTGCTCAACTTTCTGTTAATTGAATACTTAAGCTGGGGTATGGTTTGTGAGCTATAACATTTTTTTTTGAAGATTTTTGAATATTGGTCATTACTGCGTGAATGATTTCCATATTTTTATTTGGATCATCAAAATCGCTACAAATTCATTTTTGTTTAAATGTTTTTGGTCTAGTAGGCCTCCTGTTTTAGTCATTTCTCATGTAGTGTATATTACAGGGTTGTACAGATGGTATTGAAGACAAAACACCAGAAAAAGAAATAACTACCTCATGTAAGTACAACAAATAAAACTGCATCTGCTCTCCTTTATCTGTTTAATATATCTGAATTTTACTGATAGATAATCTTTTTTTCTGCAGTTAATAGCATAAAGTCTGTGTTTCAAGTTTTTTTAGACATCAATAACTTTGACAGAAGCTTTTTTATGAATAAGAGATTTAGCCTGAAAGAAAATTTCTGTATTTTACTGGTTCATATACTGTAAATTCATATACTCTAAATTCAGAAATTATTGCAAGGTTTTAATTAATGCAAATTATGCGACTGGGTGAGAATAGCAATAATAAGAACATGCATTCTGATATCTGATACATATAAATGTATGCAGATTTTTCTGAAATAGCAATAGATTAATCTCTCATGTTTGTATGTTACGAAACTTGGACACAAGCTTCTTCATGATCAAGAAATAGCATCTGACAAAATAAAGTTGGATTTGATTTATTTTAAAATTTGCATTTTACTGATACAGTCAGGGATATAACTCTATAGGGTTATTACAGAAAATATCTTGCATGTGTTATTACAGATACTTTCATGAGTTGTCTACTCTTTAATCCTTAAATTTTCTAAATCTGTAATAACATATGTGTTTTTTATTTGTAAAATAAATCATAAATATTTAAATTTTTTGTGGGTTCTACGGAACTCTTGAAACTTTGCGCAGAAACTAAATGATTAGCCTTGATAACTAATTTTTGAATTATATTAATACATTTTTCATTAACCATGGTAAATCAATGAGACCAGGCTTTTAAGAGATAAACATAGCTGTAATAGCAAGGCTTAGTTATTTAAGGCATGTAACTTATTAAATGAGACACTTGGAATTACTGGGAAGCTTGCGCAGAACCTCATTACATGCTCTGATCATTATTTCTTACAATAAATTAAAATACATTGTAATTAAGCATGATGTATGTCTGAGCAAATGCTTTGGAGTGATGTAGAGAAGCTGTAATAACACCCTTTAGTATATTTTTTCTGTAATAACATAGGTGCACTATGCATGATAGGGAAACTATGAACTGTTATATCTTTCTATAGTTAAGTATACATAAAGACAATAGTAATATCAATAGAACTTGTATACATTTTAACAAAACTAATGATGTATATTGTCCCTTTGAAACATGTAACATACATATGTTATCAAAGTTCTTTGATTTTTTAGTCCACAATAACAAATGTATGTTTTCCTATCGAAGGTGGGTGGTTTTCTCCGGGCACTCCAGCTTCCTCCACCATTAAAAAATGGCTGACTCGAAATAGCCCAAAAGCGGTGCATAAAAGTGGCGTTAAAACACCAAAAATCAAAAATCAAATCAAATGTATGTTATTTTTCTCTAATAACCCTATAGAGTTAAATCCTTGACTGTGATAAATTGACTTTGTTTTTTTTTTTGCATTCAACATTACACTTTGTACTGACAGTAGGATTAGCAGGCGAGACACAGGGTGCTGCCAAAACTTCCCTATTTCATTACTGATTATTTGTTTTTTGGTTTCAGTTTCAACTCCAACAGCCAATGATAATTCAGATTTACCTCTACTGGAAAAATATGATGATAGCAAAGGTAGGTGTCAAATAATGCTTACCTGTGGATAAGAGGGTCTGGATGAGGGGTTGGAGAGGTATTATTTCGGTTTTATTTAACTTTTAGGCCATTTTTCTCTATCCTTTATATTATAAACCTCATTACAAATTCTCTATTCTTTGTTTTGTTTGCCTATTTTTATCTATTCTTTATTTTTTTCGACCAATATTCTCTTTTCTAAAAAAAAAACTCCATTCAGACCCTAAAGTAAGTGGATGACCAGAAAATATGTTTTATTATTTTTGATTTTTGATAGATGTCTTGTTGTACCCCACTGTTAGGAGTGAGGCTATTATGCTTGCGCCTTTAGCTTGCTCTCTGTCAGTATGTTTTCCAACAAATATTTTCGTCAAACTTTCCTTGAGTACTACAGAACAGAATAACTACATTGGTCAACAGCCTGACAGTAATGAGTTGTAATTTGTGAGGACATTTTGGATCTGTCGGATACCTTCTTCTTGCTTGCTGATACTTCAATTTTTCTTAATTTATATTTTAATATTTTCATCACACGTTTCTCCAGTACTACAGAACAGAATGACTTTAAACCTGGTCTGCTACTTGACAATAATTGCTTGTTACACGTTAACGCTTTCCGGATATGTCAAACATCTACACCCTTTTTAATGTGGACTTATTTATTTGTATGGGTACTAAGTTTCGTTGTTGGAGGGATCAAAACAATTTCTGATGTAGGCGCTTTCAGTCTGTGCCTTTAGCCACTATATATCCAGAAGCCCCTGACTAGTTAAAATGTGTTTGGGCTAGTGGAAATTTTCAAAAAAATTGTTGGACAAATGGAATTATTTTCCTTAAATGCAGTTTTGGGCAAGTAGATGAAAAAGTTTTTGGCAGACTGTGTTTTGTCAAAGTCTGCATTAAAGCCTATAGAAACTTAACACTTTATTGAAACTTTAAATTGTATGGTTAATGAATACCCTCCCATATTGGTTAAAAAATTGGTATCACACAAATAATAATGAATGCGCAGTACATTTGTTTTTGTACTATTAATCATGAACTTGGATATGCTTAGCAAGCCAAAACCTGGATTGATTTTGGTTGTTTTGTGTTGATGTGTTTCTGTCTAATTGATGTATTCCCCAAATCTATTAATATTTATCAGTAAAACATGTACATATAATATATCTAATAATTTTGATATTGGATTTAACTGTAAACTTTTTTTCACAGTTTTTACCAAAAATAATGATGACAGTAAGAACAGTTCATCATCCTCGTCAGCATCCTCATCAACAGAAGATGAAGAGGTAAGTCTATATCATTAATGCATCTCAGCCATTCTTTTTTTTTCTCTGTAATTATACCCGGCCCCTACTCTAGGAGGGGGGCTGTATTGCATTCACCTTATACATCAGTTCCTCTAAACATTTGTCCAACTAATATTGTTTTTGTCCCTCCTTTCTCCAAAACTACTAAACAGAATGATGTCATACTTGGTCAGCAGATTGACGGTGATGAGTTGTAACATGTGTGCTTTTAGTATCTTTCAGACACCTACTTCGTCTTTCAATTTTTTTTAATGCATATATATTTTTGATTTTCATACATCATATGGACCAAAAACTATAAATGACCAACAAGCAATGTGCAATGATGAAACTTCCCTTCCTAAATTCAAATTTATGGAATATTGCTCTTAGACTTTAATTTTTTTTTGTACTTGCTTTTGATATCTGAACACAATATCATTAATTAACCTGAAACTCAGTATTTAAAAGTACACAGAAGTATTATCCAAGTGTTTTCATAATATATTTTATTTTATAATGTCACATAAATTTAATTTTTCTGTAATGAAATGTCAAACTTACTTCTGTACTTGAATGAAATTCAGCGACATACTCATCTTTGCCACCCAAGATAAATGTTTAGTATTGATAGTATACACAATTGTTATAATTTACAGACGAAGCGTATGATTGCAAGAGAAAATCTAAAAGATAAGCCAGAAAGTGTCGCCTTGTTCAGTTTTCTACAGATTCTCACCGCTGTGTTTGGATCATTTGCTCACGGTGGTAATGATGTTAGGTAAGTCTTCATGATTTCCATAGGGCTGTTCCATAAAAGCATACATGGGACATGAAGGCACTTCTTAATCATAACTACTGTGGATTAATTTATTTTAGTGGCTACCAATGTTTATGAATTGAGGATAACTTATATATTATCGTGGATTGAGGAAAACTTAAATTTTCATTGATATCTGGTTTCGTGGATTTAACAAAGTCTGCATTACAAGCCTTTAGAAAACGTGTACTTAAAACATTTTGTTATGTTGTGTCACATGCTATGAAATGAAGTGTAACGACAATAAAGATTTAAGTTGAATTGATTTGATTAAAGAATAGATTATACTTGAAAGATTGCATGAAACAAGATGAGTCAAGATATAAAACGTCCCCAACATTGCATGGACAAGAAGAAACACCGTATATTAATTTATTACTCCAAAGCCATATACGTACATGCACTTGATAGAACCTAAAGCAAACTTACATCTTATCATGAGAGAGTTGTATATATTGTTAGGTCAAGATAAAAAATGTACTTGTTCCTGCCTCCTGGCAGATAAATAGGGAAGTTAGGTAGGTAAAACGATTTAATTTTTTGGAATATTTTACATAGACTTAATAGTGAAATGTTCTCGACTTAAACAGTGCTTAAACCAAAAATGTCTGGATTTCAGTGTTGCATATTAAACTAAAATTGTCCATCTCATTGACCTTGTATACCTTTTACAGTAACTCCATTGGTCCTTTGGTTGCCGTCTGGCTGATTGGAACTGAAGGAAGTGCATTACAGAAGGCCCAAACTCCAATCTGGATCCTATTTTATGGAGGATTTGGTATTGCCATTGGATTGTGGATATACGGCAGAAGAGTTATCAAGACAATGGGAACAGATCTTGCCAAAATTACACCTTCATCGTAAGTTTCTTCCTACTACATGTACTAATAATAAGTCTAGTTTCAAAACTAGGGTCTTGGTAGGGGGGGGGGGGGGGGGGGGAGGTGATCTAAGTAGTTATATCTTTCTATTAATGCTGTTTTGGTGTTAATGATAGAAATTTGATAGTCTGTTAAATTTATGTTAAGGCACTGGGCTATTTAGAGGGGAACAGGGCCTATAGCTACTGTCTATTGGTGCTTCTTTAAAAAGCTGTTAGTGAACTTTATACTGGTCTAATTGTGTGCATTAGAATGATTAGTATTAACAAATTTACCTGGCTTACTGGTAAGTTGGATAAAATGAAGTTAACTGATTACTATTCCCCCACACTCTTAATAAGAAGGGGGCAATATTGCATTCACGTTGTCTGTCTGTTCATCTGTCCATTCATTCAACTACTTTCTCCTCCACCACTTCATCTACTGAACAGAATTATTTCATATTTGACCAGTAGCTTGACAGTGATGAGTTGTAATGTGTGAGTACTTCTGATCTGTCAGACACCTATTTACTGTTTGTCGATACAATTAATTTTCAGTATGTTGAATGGATTAATATTCATATTACATTAACATGTTCTCAACCTGAATATGCATATTAATTTGCCGCTGGACGTTGAGCAGTCATTAATCATCATCAATATGTTGAATGAATTTGAAATATATACTTACACTTTCTTCAAGTACTATATAACAGAACAACTTTACATTTAGTCAGAAGTTTAGCAGTAGAACAACATGTGCATTCTTGATTGTTATGACAAAAGTCTTGTGTTCGATACAGGGTATAACCTTATTTGTACCCGTGAGGCGTTGACCAATAATAACTCATCAAGGCTACCAGGCTTATAATTTTGTATGCCAGACTAGCATTTTGTCTACAAGGCTCATCAGTGACACTGGAATCAAAAAGGGAAAAAGGGAAAAATAAAGTTGAAGCACATTGATGACCTAATATTCTGTATTCTGTATTAATGATATGATAATAAAATGTATTTGATAAAAAGTGACAATTATGTATACATTGTTAAAGATTTTATTGTCAGATCTTCACGATAAACAGAACATGTAACAAAGAATATCTTGTTTATCATGAGAATCAGCCTCCTGTGTGACAGTGATCATTTTCCTTTATTATACATATTAAGATGAGCACATTTGAATGATAAATAAAATTTGACACATTTTATGAGTTCAGGTCCTTGGCACTTGTGCACAAGGGAGGTAATTTATTGACAAAACTAATGAAGTTTGTATGTCATGTATTTTATATATTCATTTGTTCAATTTCAGTGGATTCTGTATTGAGATTGGTTCAGCCCTAACAGTACTTATAGCTTCAAACATTGGCATTCCTATCAGTTCAACTCATTGTAAAGTAGGATCGGTTGTAGCTGTAGGCAGGGTTCGGTCCAGAGAAAATGTGGACTGGAAATTATTCCGAAATATAGCCTTGGCATGGATTGTGACTGTTCCTGTTTCTGGCGGTATAAGTGCATTGACAATGTTTATTTTCACGTTAGTCATATAAGATCTGTAATGACTGAAAGATGGAGAGGAAAACTGTTGATAAAGTGTGCATCAAAAACCACATTTCTTTATATATCATTGATAGAAAACTTGATTTTACATTTTTACTAATTTTCCATCAAAGATGAAGGAATGTTTTGGTGAAGTCTTTCATCATAAATTCTGTAAGCATAATATTTGCTGGGAGTGCTAGGAGTAAATGTAAAATTGCAGTGTGTTGTGAAGAATAGTTGCTAACTTTACTTTGAGGAATGAACATTTCAGTGCATGCAATTTAAATAGTGCTACCAACCTTATTTTGAGGGACGAAATTTTCAGTGCATTCTAGTTTCAATAGTGCTATAAAATTTAACTTTGTAAAGTTTTATGAATGAGAATGCATATGCAATTGCTATTCTATAAATTTCTTGCAATAATTTCAGATTAAGAACCAAATTATGTATCAAGTTGAATACACACATATTTCTTTTGGCCTTATGCAATGGCCTTGCAATAATGGTGATAGTGACATTTTCATTTCTTTTGTGTTTGAGAAAATTTAATTTTGTTTATTTATATCCTGGTCTTCCTGAATAGAACATAATTAGTTTAAAAATAGTAGGAATCAGTAAGGGATATTCCAGAATTAATTTGGGTGAAGGGGGGTTGGAGGTTTGTTAGAAGTTTTCACCTAATAATGAATAATAGGGGGGGGGGGAGAAATGCCTTCCAACCCCTAACCTCTTACATTTAATTTTGAATAGCACTTGGCTAATCATGCAATTTGACATTTAGTCACTTGACAAGGGATATGATCCGATATCTCCTTTGAAAAAAAATTAAAAAATCTGAAAGGTAATTAACTGATTAATGTTGAAATCAGGACACTCCAGGATAATAGAATAGCTATTCTGGCTTCACAGGAGATATGGGCTCATATTCTCTGTGAAGATCCCAAATAACATATACTTTTAAATTAAGTTTAATGTATATTTTATTTTTGTATGTATTAATATATCATTTATTAACAATTCTTGTATACATAAAGTTATATTTTGTATTAACCATGTAACTTATTGATCTGTAATTTTGATCTGTGATCTCTATGAAAATCCAATTTATTTTATCTTGGTCAGCACTGCAGACTTTACTTCCCTTAGGACAATCCTAAATTTAATGTATTGGAGAGTTGGACATCACATCATACTTTATTCTGTGGGTAATAAGCCTGGAAGCAAGTATAGTTCTGCAACAAATGAAAATAGAAAAATTTGGGTGGTGGGTTATAAATAAAAGTGTTGTCCAACACCCTACATTTCTTCCCGGAATAATCCTTAGTAGCAAGAAGGTAAAGCAGTTTTGCTGTACAAACTGTTGAAAGGATGGTAGAGGTTCTAATATATATGTGTGAAAAGGAAATATTCTCCCGTTTGAGTAAAGATGTGTGATTCTGGTCATAAAAAAATATTTTTTACGGTCCTACGATATTTTTTTCAAAGTTTAATACACTGAATGTTAAATTCACCCAAATGAGAACCAATTTGGCCCAGTCTGCATCATTAGCCACTAGTCTGATGCCCCAGACTAGTAAAACTTTTTTGGTACAAGTTAGTATTTGCAAAACTTTGCTTAGACACATAAGAAAAATGTCTGAATATTGGTCCTCGGGTCCTCGGACTAGTAGTTGGAAAAGATTTTGGTGTAACTCATTTGCAACAGTTTTAGTACTAGTGTGATAGTAGTGTTAATTTATAATATGTCAAGGAATGAGTGCTTGTTCTTAATTTAATAAAAATATTTTTGTATTTAAAGCTTTGTTTTTCGGGTAGTTGTTTTTAAAATGCTCTTTTACAGCATTTTATTTGTTGACGGTATCTGTTGTTCATTATTTAGACTGTTATTTTGATAAGTAACCAATATAATCCTATAGACAGGATAGATGCAAATTGAGTGTTGAGCTAGTTTTATATTATATTGCATCACATTATTTTAAAATTTTCAGATTTATTAATAAATCACTGAATTCATTTTTCATTTTCACAATTACAATTTCAACTAATATTTCATAAAACGTTAACTTTTAAGCTTTCATTACAGAGGAAATTTATTTTTATAATTGCTTTAGAAGGCAATCACAGACAAAAAATATGAAAAAAATATTTTTCATTTAAAGAAAAAAAGTGAAATAAGAAAAAAACATAAAAATAAAAGAAAAAGGTAAAAAAAAAAAAAAAAAAAAAAAAAACTTAAAACCCTATTTAAAAAAGAAAAAAACAAAACAAAACAAAATATAAAATGAAATGGATAAATATTCTTTTCCAGATTAATTTCATGTTATATTTCTACACTGAAAATCACTGTAGAGTCTAAAAAAAATATCATTAGAATAGAAAAAAAATGCAAAAAAATAGTAGATATATCTTACTAACATTTATTATTGATCAATAAAATATAATTTGTTAGTAATCATGATTACTTAATCAGTACAGAAGTCAACCTTATTTATTTTTCATAAGGGACCCCCAAAACTATATGTGTTGAGGGTTTGTAGGTTTGAATTGTTTTTTCATAGTTTAGTTTTTATGAAATAAATTAATAAGCCAGTTAATTGGCTGCAATTGTAACTTAAAATGCAATAATTCAAGTGTAAATATTAAAACTGCTTTGATTTGAATTTAGCATAATATTCAGTATATCATACTTGGAAACTATCATAACAGGTTTCATATGCAAAAATATGAAATTCATAAACTGTATATAATACTAAATCCTTTGTTAGAATCATTTTTTAAAAGAACATCACTTCTAATACTATATACAGAGAAAACTGCTTTAAATATATATCAAATTCATATATATCAAATCATTTTGATTTGTTTTATTAACCAGTAGTTGTAGTTTTCTTTTGAGAATGTGTTGACCACCTTTTATACGAAAAGCAGTCTGCAAATTTCACCCCCAGTCGTAAAGTACTAATTCTTGATAGTGGAAATTTTACTTAAAATTAGTTTTCACAAGTTAAAAAAATGATCTGGTTTTCAGTCCAGGTTTGCAGAGTTTTTAAATTTTGTCTTATCATAATAAATTCGTCTATTGTTATTTGCTTTAAGTCTTAAAATTTTTTGCATCAGAAACAGTCTAATTTTTTTATCATGTCATCTATATTATATATGTAGGACACCAAAGTGCGATGGTACTTTAAAGTGCGATGGTCACGCTAAAGTGCAATGGTCTACGCTAAAGTACGATGGTGTCTCAAGCTAAAGTGTGATTGTTGTTTGTTTGCTAAAGTACCATGGTATATCACGCTAAAGTGCGATGGACCAAAAGGGTAAGGTTAGAGGACTTAAAACATTAAAGTACATGGATGTTAAGAAATAGTCTTCCTACAAAGTACAAACTAATGTTTTAGCGGACAACTTATAATTTACGCATGAAAACATGTACCTTTATTTTACCAACGTTACATTTCAATAAAATCGATAATATTTTAACGGGGACAACAAAATAAACTGCAAGTTACATGAACAATGATTTAAATGTATCCGTTCGCTTCCAATAGAAGCAGGATACAGGATGCTTATGCGTATACTATTTTGTTATGCGTATATTATTTTGTATCTATATAGTAAAATGGTCGACTGGAGGATACAAGTCCTTCTTCCAGCACCCAAAAAAAAAACAACATTTGCTTCAGCCGACAAAGCACAGTTACTTTTAAATAAATTAAGTCATGGACATTTGGTTTAAAAGTTGTTAATCAAGTATTCTTAATTTATCTTCTGGCATGTTCATTTTTGGTTTGTATAAACGACTGTTAACGTCATAATCCAACTACGTTTCTTACGTCTGTACTTTCACCGACCATCAGACTTTAGCATATGGAGGCATCGCACTTGAACTCAGACAGTCGCACTTTAGCGTCACCATCGTACTTTAGCGTCTCCATCGCACTTTAGAGTCCTACATATATAATCAACTACCTTACCCTTAAACAAATTTGCTACTAAATGTCTTTTGTATTAAAAGATGTTGATGTAATTAAGATATTATTTTGATTAAGGTCTTTGTTCATGTACATTTCAACAAAGTCTGATTTATCCTTTTCATTTATAATTAGAATAACAAAACTTGGAAATGATTGAAGATTTTTACTGCCTTTTGTAATTTCTGGGTCCAAATAATGTCTCTTATCATACATACTTCATTTCTAATGAAAATGATAATTTATACGACCGCAAAAAAATTTTGTGGTCGTATATTGGTATGACGTTGGCGTCGTCGTCGTCGTCGTCGTCGTCCGTCGTCGTCGTCCGAATACACATTGGTTTTCGCACTCTAACTTTAGTTTAAGTGAATGGATCTCTATGAAATTTTACCATAAGGTTCAATACCTCAAAAGGAAGGTGGGGATTGATTTTGGGGGTTATGGTACCAACAGTTAAGGAATTAGGGGCCAAAAAGGGGCCAAAAATAAGCATTTTTGTAACTTCCAGACATAACTTGTGTGTTAGTGTATGGATCTCTCTGACATTGTACCACAAGGTTCCATATCACAAAGGGAATGCTGGGATAGATTTTGGGGGTAATTGCCTCCAAATTTTAGGAATTAGGGGCCAAAAAGGGGCAAAAAACAAGCATTTTTCTAGTTTCATGACAATAACTTGTGTTCAAGTGTATGTATCTCTCTGACATTGTTCCACAAGGTTCCATATCTCAAAGGGAATGCTGGAATTGATTTTGGGGGTAATTGCCTCCAAATTTTAGGAATTAGGGGCCAAAAAGGGGCAAAAAACAAGCATTTTTCTAGTTTCATGACAATAACTTGTGTGTAAGTGTATGGATCTTTATGAAATTGTACTACAAGGTTCCATATCACAAAGGGAAAGCTGGAATTGATTTTGGGGGTAATTTCCCACAACGTTCAGGAATAAGGGGCCAAAAAGGGGCCAACAATAAGCATTTTTCTAGTTTCCAGACAATAACTTGTTCAAGTGTATGGATCTCTCTGAAATTGTACTGCAAGGTACCATACCACAAAGGAAAGGCTGGGATTGATTTTGGGGTTAAATCCCTAGAAATTTGAGGAATTAGGGGCCATAAAGGGGCAAAAAACAAGCATTTTTCTAGTTTCAGGACAATAACTTGTGTGCAAGTGTATGGATCTTTATGAAATTGTACTGCAAGGTTCCATATCACAAAGGGGAAGCTGGGTTTGAGTTTGGGGGTAATTGCTGTAAATGTTTAGGAATTTTGGGCCAAAAAGGGGCCAAAAAATAAGCATTTTTCTAGTTTCCAGACAATAACTTTTGTTCAAGTGTATTGATCTCCCTGAAATTGTACAGTAATCATACATGTGAACCTCCCGAAGGGAATACAATAATCCTGTTTTCAGGGGTCTCCTCCCGACCTCCCGTTGAAGACAAAAAAATCCTGTGTATGAAATATTTCATGAATGAAAAATTTCAGCCCAACATATCTGGTGTAACTGACATTACCTGAAGTTATATTTTACCTGTAAATCAATTAACATGATAATTATATGGCTTCACTTGTCACCTTGGGTGTCAAACATACTGGTAATCAACGATTTTTACATCAGGCTAACTGCCGTTGTGTAATAAAACTTTGTATATTTATAAATGAATGTTGGGTTACTTCCCTTGATTTATCCTGTTTTAAGTTACTTTCCTTTAAATAATGTAAATTTTTAAAAGAATATAAATAAAATATAAATTGAACAAATAATCATAAAAGGATGGTAATTAAATGATTTTAAATGTCTTAGGACAAATAAAAAAATAATAATTTGAAAATTATTTGAGGGTTCTATACTTCCTTTCAAGGCTTAAATTGAAATTTATATATTAACTATGACCCATGAATCCAGTTTGAATGTGTTACTTATCATGCATTAAAAATCTACTTGCATAAAGATTAAAATATAAGATCTACTTGCAGATAGATAAGCAAATATTCTGATTGCAATGAATAATGGAAAAAAAGATATGACCTAAAAAATTTAAAGAACATACTTAAAAAGAAGAATGTTAGATTGAACAAGTTGAAAGTTTAAAAAGATAGAGAAAATTTATAAGTACAAGGGTACTATAAACATAATACATTCGGATGGAAAGTTGAAGAAAGCACACTTTAACAGACAATTTCTACAGCACACGGTTACATTTACGACAAAATTTATGTCGATTAAAAACCTCCTGATCTGAGTCCTAATCTCCTGACCAAAATTTCCCAAACTCCTGATCTTAGTTTCACAGTCCATCATATGTACTGCAAGGTACCATACCACAAAGGGAAGGCTGGGATTGTGTTTGAGGGTGATGAATCATAAGGGGGTTCAAAAAATTTTGGGGGGAGGGGGATTTTTTTTTCCTTTTTTTTCTTTGAAATTTTCCATTTTAAATTGGTTATTTCTGATTTATATATAAAAGCAAATAATAATGATATGGTTTGAATAGATAAATTAAAAAAATTTAAGTTCTTAGACCACATTCATTCTGTGTCAGAAACCTATGCTGTGTCAAATATTTAATTACAATCCAAATTCAGTGCTGTATCAAGCTTGAATGTTGTGTCCATACTTGCCCCAACTGTTCAGGGTTCGACCTCTGCGGTCGTATCAAGCTGCGCCCCAGCGAAGCATTTTATTTTACTGATACATTCTTAATTTCCTGTCAACCTCAGTACAGAATTGAAGAATCTCAAGTAATTTCACATTTTGTTTGTACATATTACATGTAAAACTATCACCTCATTACCTCTCATCTCAGGTCCACTTAATTTACTACAAAATATTTACTAGGTGTAAAAAAAAGAGCCATTTTAAAACTTGTATATATTGCTGTGTGTATTTCTTTTTTTTCGATTTTCAAGGTACTAAATAATCATCAAATTTACTAGAAGAGTTAAAAAAAAAGAAAATGGTGCTTTGAAAAAATAGCATTATTAGAGAATATATCATGTAATATTTTGAACTAGAAAAAATTAACAATAATAGCAAACATGTCGTGACTATAAACTAGATTAAAAATTGATTGTATTCAAATTAAATGTTTAATGTATAAATTGCAACCGCATTGAGATTCTGGCATCGTTGTCATTAGTTCTTTTCTGTTGGGACATACCTTCATGTAAATGTGGATTCTAATTTTGTTTAGGATGTGAAGCTAGTCAATTGTTTGGACTAAGAAAGGTGTTGAGATAGTGACCATTTCAGTTGATGGTATTTTTTTTCACATTGAAATGACCTATTCCATATACATTACATGTAGGTTTGTCTAATCCAAAAAAATCTTGGCTGCGTCATAGTGATTTATGCTTGTAAAACATGGAAGTCATCAGTGACATTATAAAAAAATGTGAAAGAATGTTTTTTGAATATTAGTGATTAAAAAATAATTCTTTCATAAGAATTATTTTATTAAAACCTTCTACCAGATGGCTTTCAGAAGTATGTGTACATAATTGTTATGTATTGATTTTGTATGTTTGAACAAATGTCTTGTACATATGTATTTTAGCATGTATTTGTGTGAAGTGATTTTAATATATATGTTAAGACTGATCAATGAAAACTGTTAATAATAAATAATTTTGTTGTCATTTTTATACGACCGCAAAAATTATTTGTTTCGTATAATGCTATGGTTTTTATTATATAAACAAGAACTGTATTCTATACAAAATAATAAGTCGTTTTTATTATCTATCATCAGTATTGAATATTTATAGTCTTTTATGTTTTCCTTGAAAATATTAAACAATATATACATATGAATGACTAATTATGAAATTTTCATATTATATAGTAAATAGTCATTTAAACAGTTAGTCTTTTGAGGAACCTAGGGAATAAAGCATTAACACAATATCAAAAATTACAATGATCAACAAGTAAATTTGATATCTTTTTTTTACATTTAAAAAATAAAGAAGAAAAAAGTTCAATCAAATCGCCAAAGACTACACTAAATGTTCACTTCGATTATCTGAGACATGTTTGTAATATGGCTCTTTTTTAGTTGCCTTATACAAGTAATTTTTTAAAGACTTCTGTTTCTTTTAGATTAATTTATGGTTTATTTGATTTTCAAAATAATTTGAATTGTCCCTTTTATCATATGGAGATTGTTTATAAAGATTGCAGTAAACAATTAATTTCCTCATAGGCGACAATGATAGCCTTTTTCGAGATACAGGCTTTAAAATGTTGATTTTTTAACTAAACCTTGCTAGAATTATAGAAAAAATATTTGGACAGTATTTTTTGGTCCAAAAATTATAGGTTCTTGTTGTTTTTCTTTAAAGTAATTTGTACTTATCTCCCTTTGCACTTAAAACATGTGTCTCATCCTAGCATTGAAGGTATAGAACCACTAATTCAGGCCCGGTCGGAAAGAACATACAAGAAAGTAGTACATATTTTAAACAAAATAGTTCCTACGCATAGCTGTATCTTTGTCAATAGTTGGAATATTTGGGTTGTTTTAGTATCAAATGAAAGCTTGGGAACTTGGGATCACTGTAGAACCCTTGTTGAAAGTTTTATTTGAATAATAAAGAAGTATAAGAAATTTTAATAGGAGGGCTCATTTGGCCTGTTGTTCAGATCAGAAGTTCCTGTTTTTGTACTATCAAACTTCCGGTAACCAGAACGCTCTAATATGCAATTAAAGGTATGTTGATTTTTTCAGCACAAGTCAGGATAAGGTACAGGTTTGACATGAAATAACTGCCACTTTATTTGAACTTAAGATAAAGTAGCCATTAATGCTTGAAATTGCAGAATTTAACATAGAAAGCAATGGGGCTATGAATTAGTGGTTTTATACCTATTACTGACAGGCATGTGAAATTCTATTTTTAGAAATCATACCCTTTACAGTGAAAATTGGTCACATTTGTTGTCAGAAATCATGTTACATTAATTTGTTTATGTAACAATTATGTTAGTGTCAAATTACAGCCCTCAAATTGCTACAATAAGGTTTTTTAGCCTTTTTTGGTCATTTAGCATGCACACAGTTAAGATTTTGCCTGAAATTTTAATTTTGGATTATTTAACACTGAAACCAATAAAACTTGTATATTAAGACTAGTTTATAGTATAAATATTGTTTTTGGTCAAATTATCTAGCGAGTGTTCATGTTTTATTGCGTTTCTTAGTGAATTATTTATTTCAAGGAAAACTGGTGTATACTTATAT